TGGGTCAGACATGTGGACTACTTCCTGTAGGCATTGACTCGACGATACTGTCTACCACAGGTCTGCGGTGGAACCTAAGTAGGTGATCTGCGTCAATCACGGCTAGCGTACATTAATCGGATCCTGATACAGGTGAACAAGAATCCTCCTTTGGAGGCCTTGTATCCACTTCCAATCATCTTGTACCAGAGGAGCCAACTGTCTGGATAAAGACATCTAAGCCAATATGGTGGGTAGCTGAGTTGCGCAGCTTAGCTTGAGATTCCCTTTGGATTTACCGTGGATGACGTCCAAAATTAAGTAGGTGACGAATATTACTGGCATACCCTGAAATCCTGTTACCTTGCGACCCCGCGTCACTCGAAAGGGGCTTACTGTAGTCCGCGCCGGTAATAATCTGTCCAACCCTCATCTCAGATACGTCGGATACAATTAACGCAAAGAGGTAGACTGCTCATAGATCATGAACTGGACCGGTGTGTTCAGACGTTCGCCGATGTCTCGAATCTCCACAGTAGACTGGTGAGTCGAAACAGGTCGAAACAATGTAATTCGCCGGGAGCTCCATTTCAATATTAATGAAATCGTACATCCGAATCCCGACAAATCCCAGATATTGCTGGGCACGTGACTATCGTTCAAGCACTGTTCGATCTCGTTATGTCCCTCGTCCGATTTCCGCACTCCATAATATTAATAATGACTACTCTTCTGGATGTCCTTACTGAATGCTTCAATATGTCTGAGTATGATCCTTCTTTCTTCTTTTCTCATATCAGGATACTCACGAAAGTAGGGCCAGAGAGGGTCCCTACCCTGTTGTCGTAGAGCCGTATGAGTGCCCTCCTGTCCAGACGTACGATCTCTACGGACGCAAGAGCCCATTGTACTGTCTTGGGTGGCTTATTCCGCTGGCCACCTGGTCTACATATATAAACCCTTATCCTGATGAGCCTGATCTCGAATCCCACTCGACATCCGCGGTTAATAGGAAGTGGCGCGAGCTCGGGTATACGGAGGAGCTCCCGTATGTTCTCTATATACTGTAAAGTTTTGCTCGTCCTTACTCGCTTTGTCTCAATGCAAGTGACTGGAGGGCTCCGTGCGACCACAATATTGACGGTTATGCCGTACTCATCATTACATTCAACACGGCGAAGTTTCTCAGACCTCTTGCAGATGCCAACTTCTCAAATTTGAATGTGCCTTTGACACGACAACTCGTGAACGCCAGTGCATCCTCATTGGGTCTGTCGGAAGAGATGGCGAAGCAGGTCAAGTGGTATAACCTTGACTCGCTCTCGCGGAAACGGACTGTAAGTCTGCCATCGTCTGACTTCGTTTGTCCAATCACGCTGAAGCTGCATATGCTACGTCTCTTTGTTTTCTAGGCGATGAGCTCTCGTCTCGACGCTTATATTGACAAAATATACGAATCGAAGCGTCGTCACTTAAAGTGAAGGTTGTCTGCTACGATGATGATATCATCAGGACTCCGCGCTGGTCAACATATGGCGATATCGTCAATGATTGAGGGATGGCAGGGGAAAGCATGGCTACGTTCGGATATTACGGTCATACGATCTCTGCAGCATGTTTTTTGTGATATACCTTGACTGGAAGGAATGGAGATCTGCAGAACTCCGGTGGACGTGTTTGGTAGTCAGTCCGCAATAAATCCCCATAACGCACATGACCGGGAGGTGTTCAAACGGTGTATCCAACAGCAACTGGCAGGCCCACCAAGTGCAAGCACATCAGGGAAACGGCAATTTGTCTTACGGCAGGGACTTGGCTTAACCGGTCTTAAAGGTTCTTATTGTCGTCTTTTACGTGTCTTTTAGGTACTTAGCGCCCATTTTAAGACGAGAATAAGACCCATTAAGCCAAGTCCGGCTCTTAAAGTCTCTTAAAGCTATAAAAAGCATTGTAAGACTGCCGTAAGACCATTAGCCGTTTTGCTGATGGCCACTGGCCATCACTTGGAACACAGTCTAACTGCCCCGAACGGGTGGTAGAAAATCCCCCATTTGCCCTAATTTGCCCCAAGCATCAGCAAAACGGCTAATGGTCTTACGGCAGTCTTACAATGCTTTTTATAGCTTTAAGAGACTTTAAGAGCCGGACTTGGCTTAATGGGTCTTATTCTCGTCTTAAAATGGGCGCTAAGTACCTAAAAGACACGTAAAAGACGACAATAAGAACCTTTAAGACCGGTTAAGCCAAGTCCCTGCCGTAAGACAAATTGCCGTTTCCTTGAATGTAGAAGGCGCGCCAACTCCGCGCCACCACATCAGCAAAACGGCTAATGGTCTTACGGCAGTCTTACAATGCTTTTTATAGCTTTAAGAGACTTTAAGAGCCGGACTTGGCTTAATGGGTCTTATTCTCGTCTTAAAATGGGCGCTAAGTACCTAAAAGACACGTAAAAGACGACAATAAGAACCTTTAAGACCGGTTAAGCCAAGTCCCTGCCGTAAGACAAATTGCCGTTTCCCTGATGCAGCGCGACGCGTCGCGCACGGGGCGCTTGCACTGTGGGAAACCCAGTCTTTAACAGCCTGCAAAATGTTAATCAAAAGGTATTATCAGCCAATCAGAGGGCGAGAAATACCTTTTGATCAACATTTTGCAGGTCCTCAAAGAGTGGGACTCCCGCAGTGTTGCCTTTCGCATCGACCATTACTTCCCAATATTCATGGAGGCGTTTCTTGAGACACTTGCTGAGTGCTTCCATAAACTCGGGTAAAGTTCTGTACCTTTCTGATATCGAAGATACTTACGAGACCAGGCCCAGTGCTTTCCTGATGTGGTAGAGCCATGCGATCAATCTCCTGTTTTCTAGTATTTACCCATTGGACGTAGAAGTCCCCTGTACTGTCTTGGATGGCTTATTCCACTACCTGACTGGTCTACGTATACGTATATCAATCCATATCCTGGTCGGAACATATGTCGTTACCGCATGTCAGCGGTCTGCAATAGCACGAGCTCGGTCACAAAGAAGAATTCTCGTAGGCTTCGATTTTTCTACAAGCTCCCATGTGCTCACCTACTTCGCAACACCGAAATCGGCTTGACTCTTCTATATTATCGTGAACTCCCCGGTTATCGTCTTGTGACCATTGCACGTAGCACCACCGAGGACCTCAAGCGTCTCTCAGATGCCAACTCGAACCTGGATCCATCCTCGGTGCAAGCCCTTGTGAAAGCGGGTGCATCTTCGATGGGTTTGCTGGAGGCGATGGTGAACCAGGTTAAATGGTATAACTGCAGTTCTCTCGTGCGCAGACGCTCGGTGAGTTCACTGTTGTATGGTTTCATTTGCACGGTTACGCTGCAGCTGCATGTTTCTCTTCCTTCCTTAGGCAACAACTCCGCGTCTGACAGCTTACGCGGATTGGCTATACCCTTATGTTTCGGCAAAGTCTCTTCTGACTTGGATAGCTCCTCTTTTAGCTCAGACTGAATGTTATCTACTATGCCAAAGAGGTAGTCAGAGCTCGGCCCTGGTCAACGCATATGATGTGACCTTGCGAGATTGCTAATGGTTAAAGGATGGCGGGGGATAACCATGCAATAGGGTTGTATCTGATTGTACGATACTCGTAGCATGTTTATGGGAATGTACGTCTGTGGAAGTACTTGACATTGAATATTGAGGATTCATGAGACAAATCAAAATTCGACATGTTCCCTACAAAAGTGCCGCGCCACTTTTAACATGGAAGGAGGACTACATTGCCAGGGGCATCGGACCATTTAGAGCTCACCGTGTGGCTGTGAGCTTGCCTCGATCTCCGAAGCTGCACTTGACTGTACATCTCGACTCTTGTAACTTGACTTATACGAGCAAATTCATTCTCTAGTATGGCGGAAGTTGTCAATGTCCTGGTGGCTTTTGCGGTCATTGTCATCCTTTTCCGTTGGGTAACCTCCAGTACGTCGGAGTCGTGCTTAACATTCACGCTCACATCCCTGGGCTCACTTCAACATTCTACAGGCAAAGAGTCCTCATCAGAACGTTCTGCTGTGAGCACCCTTGGTTTCCGTCCACGAAATGTCACCGAGCAGATGGTGGGTCCTGCGATACCAGAGCGCGTGTGGAGACCTGACCCGAAGAGCTAGGTAGACACAGTGCAGGGGATGTTTCCTGACATGCCAAGGTGTGTTATGTCTTGCTAATCACCTAGCATGGCAGATTCGAGCTGTGGTACTGTGGATAGGGACAATATTAGGTACGAACTGCTTCGGACTGGCAACGTCGACCAGACGGCCAACAAGATCCTGGAACGGGGTTACTTAGATGCTGTAGGTTCCATGTAAACGCACTTCATCAAATATCTCACATCCTCGCAGCCACCTCAAGCCTACTACACCCTGTATCCTCGGACACAACAGCCCCCACCAGCACGTCCAGCACCTGCACCAACTGGCAACTCAACAGCGACCAAGCTGAAGTCAGATAGTCTTATCAAACGTTTTCATCTCGAAGACAAGGTGAACGAATCTACACCAGTTTCTGAAGAGGAGGTTGCTGGTAAGGCGGTGTGGGAGGATACACCGGAGAAGCGAGAGGCGAGTCTGCAAGAACGCAAGGCGAAAATGATCTTGGCTGCACGGCAGTGAGTCAACAAGCTTTGGATTGCCTCTCGGAATATCCTTCCTGATCCATACGTATAGACGGATGTTGGCTCAGCAAAAGAAAGCGGGCCCGTCAACGCAATCATGACATCTGTGCTGTGTACTTTAAGTGGGTATCAGCGAGAGCTTGAGATATGTATGGGCTTTCTTTACGTACTGTGACGGTCTGAATGCCGGTTGATCCACATGGAACCGCCTTAACGATATAATAATACCAGGGACGTGCAAGTAAACATGTATCCGCATCTGCCCAGAAGTTAGAAGTCGATCCCAAATATCCTGGTTCAATGGCTCATTTATGACTATGGTAAAATATCAATCCACTCAACGACGCACAAAAGAAGAGCTGCTTTGTATGCATTAAGCGAGAATCGAACTCGCGGCCAGTCGAATGTGAGACCCATCTAAGTGGCAACGACTGAGGTTACCACTACCCCATTAATGCATGCGGTCGACATAAATCCATAGTATGATGTACATAAGATATAAAAATCACTCGGATAGAATGTGTTCAGTACCTTCAATCTTACACCATTGCAATGTCTCTCGCTAAACTAACTTCCCTCTCCACCCAGACCCTCTCCCTCCTCCTCGAGCGGCAGCGTTTGCAAACTCTCTCCTCTACCACCGCTCCGAATACCAATGCGAAGCTTAGCCAAATCACCCGCAATCTTAATCAACTACGGAGCGGTATCCTCGAGTTGGAGAAGAACCAGGGTGCGCGGACGGAGGCGGTGAAATTATTGAGAAGTCAATATGAAAGGATGAGGGGTATGCTGGGCGAAGAGGGATCTGAGATTGAGAGGTGCTTGTCGTATTCGGCTGCTGAAGACTTGGACTGAGTGCCCCGCAGTCTACAGGATGACCCGTCACCCCCGCCTCCCCCTGTCCCCCCACCCCGCTCGCCGTCTCCGCGGGCAGCCATGAAAGTCACCCAGTTCGCACCTTACACCGATGATCCTGAAGCTGGCCACGAAGAGGAGGAACCGCACGTTGTACTGCAGACCCAGCGCCGCATGATCAACGGTATGGATGTTTTGAGTTAGGGAAGAACAGTGCTGATGATGGCGGTGTTGGTTAGATCAAGACGCGCACCTGGACGTGCTCTCTTCGTCGATAAACCGGCAACACCATCTTTCGCTGCAAATTAACGAGGAATTAGATGCACACACCGGTTTACTTGAAGATCTGGACACGGATCTGGATCGGACAGATAGTAGACTGGCCGGGGCACGACGACGGTTAGATAGAGTTGCCAAAGGAGCGAAGGAGAATAGTAAGTGTTGGTCATCTATTAGTGCGCTCATGCTCATTCACTGCAGGCTCGACGGTTATCATTGCGATACTCATTCTGGTTCTCCTCCTCCTTATTATTATTTTCAAAACATGACAACGCAATTCTCGGACCAGCTACTTTTGCACCTTATACATCCTATTCCCGCGGACGGACATCTGCTTGTATATTAATGCCCTCGACGTTTAATGACATAACTTATTTCTATGCAGTCATCTTCGAATATGTCGTGTCGATGCTGCCTTCAAGGGTGGTACGATAGACGCCTAGTGTACAGCGTCATCATCGACTATCCTGTCCATGGGGTTGTGGAGGTGCCGAAGTTCGTTCCTCCTCTTCCTGACCACCCAAGATATTGAAGGCAAAGTATGAAGCCCTTGTAGAATCGCCGCTGTATATATCTCAAAGCTTTGAAGTTTTGGTGCGCCGTCGCGCTTATTCATGGTGTTAACCAGTCGATTGTTGGCCATTTAGGTTCACTGGTTATGAAGCCAGTCCTGCACATTCGCATCTATACATTGATATTTCGTTTGGCATTCTAGGTCATCGATTGCTTTGTGGGCAGGCGATGAATTCTTCGCGTATTCTTGGAGGTTACCTCGGCCCGTATCTATCAAGCTCGGATATCTGACACCACAACATTGAAGGCCTTGTGGCTCAAAAGAACGGACTACACTTGGCAGAGGAACATTCTGGCGCATTATGCACATGCATGAGGACGACCGCCAGTACGATAGCGTAGCATGACATACGACAAGCAGAGGAAGTATACCGTAACGCTGAAGATTCCACCCCTCCTACATCGCATCACCCAGTGTCAGTCATCAATTACGATAACGTCTCCCGAGCCTGTCTGCCTCGACTCGACCTTATTTCGCTTCGCAATACCACTTCCAGCCGCCCCGTCGTCTTCGTCCAAAACCAGTGCACTGCTGTCTGGCCCTGGCCTCCGCTTTCGTTTCCGCGACATCGTTGACCCTTCGTCATCCGAATCGTCTATCGCAATTGCAGCAGACGCAGAGCGGCCAGCACCATCATCGACTAAGGGTGTGGCTGTTCTAGAAGGTGCGGCTTTCGCTTTCCCGGGCGCTCGGGTGGTGGAACTCGCGCGGGAAGTGGCCGTTGAGGTGGATGGTCCAGGCGTTGAAGTCGACGCACGCGAAGCTGTGACAGACGGTGCTTTGGGTTTGGGTGGTGGTGCGGGTGGGCAGGCATATAGCCGCGTCCATTCTCGTGCTGTTCTGTTGTGCTGCTCCCGATTACGAGTGTACTCACTCGCGATCGAAGGTACTGGGATTCTGTTCAATACTAACCATATGAAGGTAAGCTGCATGTCTCACCGAGTGGATCCTCTAGAAACAAAAGCCGACTCGTGAGGAAAGCAATGCTATAAGCATTGCACATAAAGACGTACTAGGGTTGGGGTCTGTCAGCAAGGAGGACAGGGAAAGAACGACCTTGAATATCGACAGGGCTGGCGACCAATTGTGCTTCAGAATGTCTATGCATACGTTGCCTCGGTCGGAGATGTTCATGTGGTAAATACTAGAAAACATAGTCCCTAAGACGGCATTCGCGGGTCACAGAATGCATATAATCTTACCGCGTCGAAAACACAACCTTGGGCGCCATGAATCTTAGCACGTATCTGTAAGCCACAATAGCTCGTGGCATGCCACAATTGGAAACGTACGGATAATCCGGCGCAAGATGGATCTCAGCATTGAAAACACCACCCTCGTATACACTCCCTTCGGGTCCAGGTATCCCTGCCTTCCAGACGAAGAGGTTATCCGTAGGAGTGAGGGTTATACCGCCCATATCTTCTTTCTTCAGATCGTTGATCTCGCGATGAATTCGCTTTAGCGTCATCTGAAGAACGGGTCAGTCACTTCATCGCTTTGAATAGGTAGAAACACATCACCTACAGCAGACGAGAGGCCAGGCGGCATGTTGGGCAATTCTAGCACAGGTCAAGGTGAGATGAGAAGTTCAAGCGCCACCGAACGCAGCATGATCCACTGCCGTGGGAATTGTAACCACGTGGCACTATTCCCCTCAGTTCCCGACTCATGCGAGTCAAGCTGCGTCTCTTGCATGTTACCCTCATAGTCGATTTCTATTTTCCCTCAGAGCTAGCTTCTACAGAGACACAATGATACCTCGAATATAGGCCCAAAGATCGATATTTTATTCTTATACAGTAACACAGGCAACTCAAGACAAATCCAAATGTTTGGGGAATCCGAGAGCGAGAGTCCTCGCGTCCCCAGCCCCTGGGACCCCTTCATTTCGGCGTCACCGTCGTCGTATCCGCTGGAATCAAACGTATGCAAAAGCTTCCAAATCCAAAAGCTCTCACCCGAAGCGGAAGACGTGAGTGATCTATATTGTCCTTGTCCCGTGGAAGCGCTGACTCTCTGAAATCCAGGGCAACGTTGAATATAAGCTCCAGTTGCTCTCACCTTCGCCCGCGCGGTTCGCGCGTCTAGTGACACAGCTCAAATGGCGTCTCCTCGAAGGCGGCGGACAGGCGTACTATGAGATCGGTGTAGCCGACTCGGGTGCGCTAATAGGGCTCCCGCGTGTGCAGCTGGAACAGTCTATCCAGACCCTGGAAGAAATGGCAGGCGAGATCGGTGCAAGCGTCATAATCGTCAAAGAAATCGAACTTACAGGCAAGGACCGCGAGTGCATAAAGGAACTGCAAGCCACATCTGGCCTCTACGGGCGGAGGAACCGGAGACGCAACAAATGCTTGGTGCCGTCTGCTGATGACTCGACCGCTACTACCACGACCGAGTCAGACTTGTCTATCACAGATACCACTGACTTCGACCAAGACGACGATGACGATGGTGAAGTTATTAGCCCACCTGCGTACTACTCCTCACTAGACGCGCTCGGCCTGGACGACGCGCTCGCACTCTTCTCTATGGACCCCGAGCCCGATGTCTCCGACATTGGCGTCGAAGCGGATGTCGAGACCGAAGCAGACCCCAGTATCGTTGCCATCGACCTCGAAATAGCCGCTGTCTACAAGCCCCGGCCCATCCGCCGCCGCGTGCACACGTACGCGCACATCGATGCCATTGCCCGCGGCAAGCGGGGGAACGGGAAGAAGGCGAAGATGATCTTACCGTCGTCCGTGGAAGCCCTCAAGGGTAGCAAGACCGCGAAGGAGATCAGAGACGCGAAAGAGGCCAAGGCGGCGAAGCGGCAGGCTGCCCGGGACCGCAAGCGCCTGGAGAAGCAGAGGGCACTTGCGGAGCAGGATTATTTCTCGGGCACGCCGTTGTCCCTATTGGAGGACCAGATGCTCAAACTGGAGGACAAGGTAAACGATGAACTTATGCTCGCGCTCAGTACGCCGCACGTCGATTCTCAGGCCATGGACACGGCTGCTATATCCGGCACTCCAGTCGTCAGCGATGCGAACGCCGATGATGTTGCGGCAGGCCCCACACAAGGCAGCCCGGAGGATGAAGTGCTTCCACCGCCAAATGACCAGAACGAGCCTCGGCTCATTGTCGAAGTGCTTGTCGTCCGCAAACTTTCACTGGAAGAAGCATTCCTTGATTTTGGCGGATTTTCTCTTTTACCATGATGTCAGATGAACAAGCGCTGCATATGATCAATAAACGTGTATAATAAAGAACTCGACTTACCCTTGGACTTCCATATTCACACTTCTGTTTGTATATTCACCACTAGTACTCGCCTCGTATATATCTTCATTAGAAGACGTATTTGCGTGTCACATATGTCCACACGGATCGCAAGAAAACCGCAGAGGCAACCAACATCGTTGTCATTAGCCAAATGTCGTAAAATACTTGACGTTGGGTATAACCATCTGAATGCCGAACGGCAGTCTACCCTTTATAATACCCAGAAGTGTCTGCTTCAACCTATGTTAGAGATAATTTGCACAAGAGGGGACAATCTACTCACATAGATACTACTCTTCAAGGACACGATTCACTTGAATCTTGTGGATCCCATCCTTAGAAAACAGCGCTGGAGGAATTAGAATGATATCAGCGTCACTGAAAACAGAGACAACGAAGATAGTGATTACGTGATTTCCTTCTGGGACTTGACGAGGATGGAAGCGTGGTTCGTTACGCCCTCGATGCGGGGGTAGGCAT